AATAAATAAATATAAAATATATATATACAACATGTAAATACAATATATTTACAATTATTGTAAGATAATTTGATTTTCTATAATCTTCCAACAATTCGCAAAAATAGTAAGCAAGTAAATGATTTTCTCCGATTGGGAAAATTTCTTCAATGTTTTCAATTAATACTGATCAAATAATAACATTTATTATTGTTTTATTTGTCTTATCAAAATATAAAGTGAAATAAAATACAGTAGAGATTTATTTATATTTACAAACACTTGGTTGATTTTTAGAACACATTGAAAAATATTGATCTAATCCTTTTTCTAATTCCAAAGGAAATTCACTAGACAAATCTCCAATTGTTATTGTGATTAACTAATTTATTGTGATTTTATATATGCATATAATTAATTAATTACCAATTAATTACAAAATTTTTTTAATTATTTGATCCTTACTTTTACATTAAATTTATCACTTAATTCATGAATTATATGAGTTTTTCCTAAAAAAATTTTGGTAAATTAGAAATAATAATAACTATAATCATTTACTAAAGTAAACAAAACCTGATCCTGAAGGTCCAAATAAAAGAATGGATTTTGTAACATCAAGATTTATTAAAGTATTATTATTATAAATAGTCAATGAAAACAATTGTTCTATTCTATGGTAATAATTATAATTGGAATAATTCATTTTTTTAATAAAATCATATAATAATAATAGTTAATTCTATTTTCAAATATTTCTGATCAACAAAATTATTATGAAATGTACCACGAAACTATCGTGAATATTTTTATTACAATAAAAAAAAACACCTTTTAACGCTCTTTGGGTTAAAATTGGCAAGTTAAAAAAAATGAATTCTTTTCCTGACAGTAATATCAATAGCAATAGTAATAGTAATAACTCTTTTATTACATTACCTCCTAACGATTTTCTAGCTGAAATGTCTCAAGCTCAACTTGCAGAACTAGCAATATGGGAAAAGGCTCAATTTAATAATACCTATGATAATAACAATCCTGCCGATTTAAGTAAATTTGAACTTTCTTCAGATCTCGATACAAATTTTGATTTTGAAGGTCAAGAAATTTCACCCATGCTTTCACCACATAATATGTTATCTCGGCATGCTTTTGCATATCCTATTTTTACATATCCCACCACAAATTCAACCACCCTGTCCACAGCTGCTGCCACCATTCAACAGTTTGGCACATGATGTGGCTCTTCAAGTGAGAATATGTGAAGGTATAAGACCTGCATTTTCAATCAACACTCCAAAATTTTATATTGAATTAGCATACAAATGCATGGATGCTAATCCAGATAATCGCCCAACTGCTAAAGAAATATTTACAATTATTAACAATTGGAAATTTACATTATGGTCATTTGAAGAAATATTTGATAAGATGGACAAGATTTTATTTGATCCTTCAACAATTACTGCAACAATTCATCCAAATGCAATTTATACTAGCAGATTATTAAAATTTACAGACCTTCTTCCTCAACCTGTCAATTCCAATAAAGTAACAATTATTGGTAATCATAAAGGTAACTGTTAATTGATTAATTTAGTAATCTTTAAATCAACATTAATATTATATTAATTCTTGTATATTTTTTTCAGATTCTCAACAGGTTGATTTAGATTTACTAGATATGTTATAGTAATTGTAAATTTGAATTGAATCACCTAATTTTTGGTTTACTTCGTTCAAATTGAGCATGATTTATGCTTTTATTTGAATCAATATATACAGTATTACCTAAGATATAAATAAATTAACCCAATGAATCATAATTTGCTTTGCTTTGATTCAGATCAATATATAGTATCTAATATATATAAATCTTTGATTCATTGAAACGCAATTCTCATATGCATTAATCACATCCTATAAAAAATTATGTTACTGAGTACATTTTGAAAATGGTATGGAGTAAACGTTTTATGTATCTTCCATATTAAAATGGATTTTTCACGCATGGAAGGAGCCTAGACAATAGAAAAAGGACAATAACACGAAAAAAAAGCAATTTGGCCATTCCTATATGTAATTCTTTACGTAGACATTTTTGATTTAAAAACCGTGCCCACTGTGTAATATTTTGAGATATTGTTTTTAAAGTTTCAAAACTCTGAAATTTTCAGAACATCATTTTCACACTATGGTCCTCGTTTTATTGTCACGTGAAATCGTTGAAACATTTTGCCTTTTAATATTAAGATTACATTTGGATAGGTGGGGTACATTAAGTAGGTCGAAAGTTGATCATTTTTTTGCGCCGATTTCATATCTAGCACGTGAAAATGGATCAATTATTAGTATTATTTATTATCGAGGAATTAGACTCGATCATTAATAATCCAATATAGTATTATAGCATTATTATAGTATTATAGTATTATATTATTATATTATTAATAGGTCAATTTCTCTTCTTGCTTGGCAAATTACTTGAAAGAGCAACAAATAAAGAGGACGCGTTAGGAGAAACCCTTGACTTCTTGGCGGATACTTTGGTGAATACGAGTATTTCTTTATTTGTATATACTTGGAAGTCTACCTACAAAAATTTCACAATAAGCAAAGAGCAAATAAATAACTGATCGTAAAGACCATTTCTGGCGAGCAACTATTAACATATTTTCGAACAAATTAATAACAAAAATTATATTTACTTGTCGCTTTTTTTTATTACCTTTATTTCTACTTCTGCTTTACGCTACGGCTAGAAGATCAAGAAATTTAAATAATAATCAATTTTTAAAATGGAATCTAGTTTTTCATCCTTGGAAAAATTGAGCATATTATTTAACATTGATAAAGATGCGCCAACATTAAAATATATCGACAAGTTAATTAATGATTTAACAAATTTGCTGAACGGGTCAGATTTTTATGATGTTGAAATTAAAGTTGGAGCAGATCAGGGCGACATTAAGATTTTCAAAGCTCATTCGACTATTTTAAGAGCAAGGTCTTCATATTTTAAAGTGGCTTTGTCGAATAATTGGATTAAAAGATCTGAAGACGGTATAATCTTATTTGAAAAGAAAAATATTTCTCCAAAAATATTCGAAGTTCTTTTAACGTGAGATTGATATTTAAATATTAGAATATATTTTTTTTTTTAAAAAGAAAAAATTTAATTTTATAATTTTATATTTTTTTTTTATTTTTTTCAAAAGTTATATTTATAATGGGGTTATTAATATAGATGATCTGGACCCGTATGAAATCGTTAAACTCATAGAAGCATGCGATGAATTAAACTTTACCGAGTTGATTGATTACTTACAAAGTCATTTAATCATCGAGAAAAAAGAATGGATCCAGCAAAATTTAATTTATGTTTATAAAAATTCATCAAAAAATCATTTATCGTTCAGTTTACTTCTAGAACACTGTGATAAATTAATTTGTAAGATTCCGGAATTATTTTTTAAATCGAATGATTTTGAGTATATTGAAAACACTATGCTTACGAATATACTGGAAAAAGACGCTTTAAAAGAATATGAAATTGTTATCTGGGATTATGTCATCCAATGGGGAATAAGGCAGGTTGAAAGGTTGGTAGGGGGTGAAAGTGAAGGCGAAGGAAATATAATCGAGTCAGGCCAGCTCTTACCAAAACATAAAAAACCCAAATTCCAACTAAAAGAAAACATTTCGGAATGGAATCAAGACAACATAACTGAACTCAAAAAAATCTTAGAAGATGTCATACCACATATAAGATTTAATGAAATATCTAGAGTGGAGTTTTATAATAAAATTATACCATATAAAAAAGTATTTAATAGAGACACATACAACGAACTTATTCGATATTATTTTACTGATATATGGCCACCAAGCCTAATGCTTCAAAAAGGTCCAAGACCAAAACAAAGGAAACTGTTAAATTTAAAAATGGAGTTTTTAATTTCAAGTTGGATCGATGAAAATAATAATACAATGAATTCGCCTTACAAGTTCGAATTAATTTATCAGGGGGCTCGAGACGGATACTCTAGGTTAGCTTTTGAGGACAGGTGTCATAATGTTGAACGAACTATAGCTATCATAAAAATTAAAGATACTGGCGAATTGGTTGGTAGTTATAATCCAGTTTGTTGGAACATCAAAGAGAAATCTCCAGATACAACCTATTATATTGAAACAAATAAAAGTTTTATATTTAAGATTGATGGCAACGACGTAAAACTTAGTAGAGTCAGCCGCCCTAAAATAGCAATAATACATATCCAACGCAGAAACCCTAATTTTAGAGTAGATGACGGCATAGAATTTCGTGATAGTTTGATAGGTTTTGGTAATTTAAGAATATCCAACAGCGTTGATGATGTGCCTTATTGTTATTATCAAAGTTTTTTTATGGAGAATGCGTATAAAGATTTGAACCTTAGATGTTTTAAGAAGGCACATGTTCATTTAATAGAAGATTTTGAAATTTATAAATTAGTAAAGAATTAAATTAATTATTTTTTTCTAGAATTAGAAATTTCTTCGATTTTTATTTACTTTCATTCACACCATTTGGGGTCTGTACTAGGAAAATCGACCTTCCAGCTGATTTTTTTTTTTTGAGTAATTGTTGATCAAAAATTGACCAATAAAAATTTATTACTATTTTTAGATTTTGATGTGCTCAAAAATTTTTATTAAAAAAATTCCGTTATATA